GGCCTGTCCGGTAGCGTCCCCTCTTCTTCCTATGTGTCCATTTGCATGTTTTCTAAGCAAAAACAAGGCTTTGTTGGGCTACTGTATAGAGTCTCAAACTCATCGCTATTTCTGACATCTGCAATTGAAAATGATTCCTGGATGGGAAGCAAAACATCTTCAAACTTGGAAACAAAGTTCAGTGGATTTTTTTTTTTTTCCTTTCTTGGGGAAAAACCGTCTTCTTCCTCGTCCATTCCTTTGGTATTGAGTGGAGATGATGGTTTTCTCTTCTGAAAGTCTTTACACATTGCTCTGAAGGTTCCTACAGTAATGCTACCAAAGGTTCTCATAGAACCCTCCATTTATTCCAGCAGCTGATCCAGTGTTCATTTAAGCACTGATTCCTCCTACTTCAACAAGCATTTTCATTGGTGTATCTCAGATACTTCATTGACCAGAAGGCTGATACCAAAACTGAAAAAATCCTGGTAGGAATTCCCTGTTCAGATGGTTCTAGATGTTGATGAATAACATAAGACGATAATTAATGATCAATTTCAGTCAGTCACTGATAAACATTAATTTAAAAAGGCCTCTTAATGAACCCTCCATGGAGACAGTACTTTAATTAAAGGTTTTCTAATAAAACATTTTTCAATTAGAACTTTTTTGGTGAGTTTAATTAATTTTTCCTGATCCTGATATAGCAAATTTCTTCCACGCGTTCCAGCTCTAAATCTATAAGGACCCTTATTTTCTCCCAGTATCTTTATAGTAGGGGATGTTTCTTATCAGACATATTTTATTGAGCTATTTTAAAGACAGAATATTCTTTATCATTCAGATATTTATCAACTCTGGATGCAGACAGAGCAGGACATCTAAAACATGCATAACGAATTAAAAATCCACCAGTGTAGATTTGATGGTGTCTATAACGATGTACTGGTCTCTGTTTACAGAGCTTTATGATCGCCTTTAAAGTTTCTATCTATACCCTGAAGATTTTGTAGCAGAAAGGTATGATGAGTTTTGAGCTAAAAGTTTAAATAAAAAAAATAAAATAAAAAAAGCAAATACCAAGACCTGACCAAAATTACTTCAACAACCAAAAAACATTTGAAATGTTGAACTTATTTGTATTTTCCAAAGTGTCAGCCAGAATCTTCTTAAATTAGGAGAGTTTTTATATTTTAGTTGATCATCTTGCCAATTACCTTTTGCCAATGCAATATTAATTATGCTAATTAAGGATATTTAGAATGATTATAATAACTCTTTAAAACATACAATCAATGCTGAGTCAGATTCTCGGCTTAACTAAAATGGTTACTATCGTTGACGGCAGAACGTCAACATCAGAACAATAACTGGCATTTATGGCAAAATAAAAACCTCTAAACCTACAATATATGTCATTCTGTCATTTTAGCATCATTTGAAAGCTAATGATGATAATCAGCACAGAGCCATAGCATTATTTAAATGGCATTTGCACAAAATTAATAATGAAGCCAGCTCTGCTAGTTAGTTAGCCTAATTTAATTGGTTAAAATTATGCAGTGCTTGATCTTTATTTATTCACTGGATTGCTGAAAGGCCATAGTTACTGCATGAAGCTGTAAGGTCACCGGCCCACATATTGGTACTCCATAGTTAGACAGATTGTAATGTAAACAATACGTGTGCTACAGCATTGAACAACGATGATGCTCTCATTATCAATGCATTCAAAACTCTGCAGCTATGATCCTGATGATGGGGCAGAAACATGAGCACATTACCTCCATTCTCCAGTCATTACACTGGTTTCCCATCTCCACCAGGATTGCGTGCAATGTTTCCCTTCTAACACATCAATTCTTCTATGGACATGTAGCTGCTCTATCTATATCTAATCTACTTAAACGACACCAACGTTTTTTGAAGTCTAAAAAGTCTTGTGTTCATATTGCTATTGCCTTCAGTTCCAATCTAACTCAGTTTTGCGATTATAAAAAAATCCATTCTGCACTGCCCATCACTTTAATTACATTGATAATTTAGCATGGTAGTAAATTGTGGAGCTCGATAATCATAGAATAATAATAGAATAACTTCATATGATTTTATTAGCACTGAAATAATATCAATATCAATGATGAAAGACACCTGATCAACATAAACAGGTCTGATAAGATAATTTTTTCTAAAATCTGTGCCAGAACTGCACAGCATTCTGGGGGATGTAGGCAGAGGAAAGGATTTATCCTCTCAGAGCCAAACTGAGTAAGGTTGCATTTAGAAAAGGTCCTAATTTATTCTGGTCCTGAATTTATCAATATCAACTTGTATGGAAGGCTTATGTTGTGATAAATATTTCAGCCTTATGTGGAGCATTTACTGAGGTTAGATTGTGGTTAAACTAAGTTACTAACAACTACGGTAAATGATCTGCTGCACTTCATAATTTTCCTGAATCAATGAGGCACAGATCTTTATATGCTGCAGATTATAGTTGCTGTAAATATATGAAAATAGCTACACCTGCTATGAACTCTGGACACACAGTGATAAAGGGACAATTAGAAATCAAACAACTGATATGATTCAATCACTAAAAAAAGCAGAACTCTAAACCTAAAACTGTTCATGCTTTTTTTTTTTTTATTAAAGCATTGTTTTTTAAAGTTTCGGTTACCAGAAATTCACCTGTTTGGGGATAAAAATTAAGCCTCAATCTTATCATTCACATTTTTCAGCAAACCAAACTTTCAACCTACATATATATTTCTAGTATCATTTATTTGTGGTTTATTTATTCAACCTTTTTTTTTATTTTAATCTGTAATATTTCCAGTAAATTCCAGAAAAATAAACTGAGCTATAATGGGATACTAGTATCATCTAATACTAAACTGGCTACAGTGTTATTATTTTTTTCCTTTATATATCTAAAATCTGATTTAAAGGATGACTGTTTAGTTTGCTTTTTCAGAAATAAGGTCATTATTAAATGGTAAATATTCAGATGTATCACCCATGATCCTTCACTGTAGCATAAACACAAATAAGAGCAAAATAAATGAGCCCAGTCTGAGTTTTAGCCAATCAAAGCACTTTATTGCACTGTATAGTGTGACAGGGAGCCGGTAGCAGGCTCTTATAAAAGTGTCATTTCCTCTTTTCATCATGTGTACAAAACAGGTCACACACACACTTTTACCGTACAAAATCAACACTATTTACATACAACACACACACACATACATACGTGCAGTCTCCCTCCCATTCAGCCCTGAACACAGACGAGTCCTTCTGGTATCTGATGGGACGCGGTCGCTACGCTGCTACCAACAAACCAAACAAACCTCTGATATGCATAATTTTTTCCCTCTGGATGATGTGAAACGAAAAGCAATGAGATAATGTCACATTATTTACCCGCAGGTCTGTAAACTACATTTTTCCAAACATCGACTCAACTCTGCCTGCAGCGTCGGCAGGACTCCCAGGATAAACAGATATTTATTTAAACTCTTTATAGATTTATTTCATCATCTGTTAAATCTTCTATAGCCTCAGGAAATGTTTGAGTCAGTGCACATCAGACAGTAGCTCCCAGGATGTTCTTTACTGAGGATTCCTGCTGGAAAAGTTCAATTATTATTAATTTTAGATGACATTTTCAAACAACTAGAAAATGTTTGAATGACTTTGAGACATTAATGAAAAGAATGAATTACTAAAACATTTTCGACTGCAGTACATTTGAACTTTAATTGTAACTGCTAAACAATTAAACTGAATATTTATATGGATTAAATTAAAAACCCTGTGACTCATATTAATTAAATGTTTTCTTTTCTTAAACTTTGACTTTATTGTCTTACAGGCTGATTGGACTTGGTAAAAGTTAAATATCTGCTTACATTTCCAGGCAGAAGATATGTTTTGCTAAATACTGGTAATGGATTACATGCAATAACTATAATTTAAAAACTATATAAATGTTCCCACTGTGGGAAAATATAATGTATAATAAATTCCTCAATTTTATATTTAGTCTCCATTTGACCTCAAAGGTTCAGTCTGTGGGGTGTATTGCCATCTAGTGGCACAGACTGCAAACTGCAGGCAGTATTCAAAGAGCAGGTGTTCTTTTTTTATCCTTTTCAGGCCACTGTAGAAGCATTTTGATATGGTTTACTGAAAGGGAAGGGTAATCATTAAATATATAACATATATTTAAAATATTTCCAGGTTTATTAATTTAAAACGATGATACTTAATGAACCCATCTGGGTCATTAGGTATAATCAAAATGGTGTCAGGAATCCATAGAGCCAGTAAAGAACAACCTTTGGATTATTATTGCTACAACAGGAGCTTTTCTATGTAAACTTCATTTTCTCCTTCATCCCAACAGTTTCCAGATGTTTCTGCCCGGATATACTTTAACATCCAAGCTGCAGCTATTTTATTTATTTTAAAGTAATAAAAAAAAAAAATAATAATTAAATTAGCTTTAGCTCATATTTTGTTTAATTATATCTTTTATAATGTCCTCATCTTCTGAGGAATCAAGTTCATTGCTCAGATGTAAAACCTCTGCAGTAACATCTGGATGCTGAAGATAAACTTTATTTTAAATAATGATAATAATTCTATTTCTGTTATATTCACACAGTGCACTTTGCTCAGCGATATTTTTGGTGCTTTAGGACTGAATTTATTCATATAAAGAAATGATATTAGTGTACCCTGCAAAAACAATCTAGAAATAAGTCAATATTTCTTATATTAAGTGTATTTACCCTTAATTTGAGTAGGTTAATAAGATGATCTGCCAATGCAATTAGTATTTTACTCTTAAAATAAGATATTAGATAATATACAGTGGAAATAAGACAATGCAATTGTTTTTCTCATCTTAAATGTAAATCGTCTTGTCCATTGGCGAAGTGTCTCTCACCTCCTCAATTCAAGAAAGAAATCACTTAATTTAAGAAAAATATACTTTTTTTTTTGCAGTGTATCTGTTGAAATATCCAGCATTTTTTTCGACCACTTTTAGACTTTTTTTTCCCCTTTTCTTTTGAGACAGGAAGAAAAATCACCGAAAACGGGAAAAAAACAAGTTTTTGTTAAATATTTTTCAAATAGACAAAAGAAAGCTGCGGCCGATTCACACAGTTGTTTTTTTGCCCCCACAGGTTAAAAGGTTTTTCTTTGATCGTCTTAGAATAAAATCTGTGATTTTAAAAGGACAGAAAACGTTCCTGTCGCACATCGACACAGACAGGTCAACACACACACACACACACACACTCCCACACAGTCAGGGTGCGGGTGGAGAGAGCTGCATTTAGGGGCTACTACACCTCGCTGTGTTTTAGTTCCTCTCCATATAGATCATTATGTTTATATACAGTATTTATAGTTTGTACAATAATCTGATGCCCCATGACGTTTGAATTGAAACAGAACCACAGATCCAAGGATTTTCCAGTAATGGTCGGTCTCTTTCGGTTGTTTAGTACTTCTGAAAGACGGCGTGTCGCCCTGAACACAGTGTTCCTCTAAGGCTTCCTATTGGTCACGGGATCGAGCGAGGGTTTAAAAACGGTCAGTCTGGGAGCTGAAATCGATCGACTGGAATGACACGACCTGAAAGAAAACGGACGACTGCAGAACACATCAAATAAATGCTGAAAAATACAGTACATGTGGATTTCTGGGGAATGAAGGAACGACGGCGGCGATACGAGCAGCACTCAGACCCACGCGCTCTCTCTCTCACAGGCAGCCAGGCTACATGTTGTAGGCCACGTAGATGGGGTCCAGCTGGTCTTGGAGGAAGCCGTCACGGAGGTGCATGCGCTGCTTCTCGCCACGGGAGTTGATGGGGATGACGCCGACGTCCGTCACCACGACGACGCCCACGATCAGGTAGTGCTCCTCCAGCACGGCCTTGGTCACCATAGGAACCAGGTCCAGGGCTTCCTGCTCAGAGCCCTCCAGCTCCACCACCACCACCAGCAGGTTGGTCCAGGTGAAGACGGCGCTGATGGAGAGACAGACACGGGTTTGGGTCGAGCTGAGGTTGCAGCGTGAGGTAAGAAAATGGCGAAACTTTAACCTTTTCAGGTTTCCTGTTTGAACTGCTGCAGCTTTCTGCAGTACCTCGTTGGTTCAACTCAGAAAAAGATTCCCTGACGCTGCAGAGCCAGAGCTAAAGAATCCATCAATGAATGAATGACAGTAGTGGTTCACACTAAAATAACTGAACTAAACTATTTTAATCGTCTCAAAATGGGTGCTTTTGTCAGTGGGACACAGCTCAGCATAAAGGACATGAGGTCATGTAAGAAAGGATCTGCTTTAAACCTAGAAATGAAATGGATTTCATCATATTAGCTTCAGATAACCTGAAACAAGCCTTTCTTTTGGCAACAGACTGCATCTCTGCTATCTAGTGAAATACTTAGACTTTAATTGTGATTTATTTTTAATGATCTCATCATTATGAGATAACAAAGGAAAAAGCAGCTCAATTTTCTCCATGATAACAATGTTAATATAGTTGATCCAAAATAATATAACCTTCAGCCCAGTGATGTAAAAACAAAAATACCAGGACCTCATCTTAAGAATTAGAGATTTAAATGTTTTTTGCAAAAAAACAGCTTTATTATCTCATTATTTTGATATTCCCGTCTGATGCTCAACAGTTTCCTTGTTTCTATCTCGAGTTTACAAGATATTTGGCTTTTTTAAAAAAATTTTTTCTCAACCTGAGAAGGATCTAAAGCTCGTTCTGCAGAGATTGGTCACCTTGAATCAATGTCTTGAGCTGATTATGTTTGTTCAGGATTTGATGACATCCTTATTTTATAAATCATTTGGTCCTTCTGATGGAATTTAAAGCCATTTAGCTTTTATTGGGATCCCTGAAAATCTGAACACACCAAAGCTTTCAGGTAATTGGAATTAAATATACCCAGATGTTAACATCTGGTTTACATTGAAAACATCCAGTTTATGGCCGATTATAGAATCTGTTTCAGTAACATTATTGTTATTTGCTTAGAAATTATTCACTTTTTTTGATCATTTATATTTAAAATTATTTCATATATCTTGAGGTGCCTCATATGATCACATCTCCCCAGGCTGTTAGAAAGTGCTCCCTGGTGCAGATGAACCTACCACTCCATGATGCTCTTGTGTGCGCGGATGACGGAGGTCTCGATGTCTATGGGATGGTACCTCATCCCCCGCAGCTCCATGGCCTCCTCCAGAGCTCCGACCACAAACAGAGCATCGTGCCTCTCTGCTCAGAAAACAACCACAGACACACGGTCAGTCCTGCCGTTGAAACGTCCAGCTAGCAGAGCAGAGCAGAGACGAGGTCACCTCCGTTGGCATCAGTGAGCTCGGTGCGGCGCAGGAAGCCCAGGTAACCCGTCCTGGCCCAGACCGTCTGAGTGTCCCCGAAGCTGAGCCTGGAGCTGAAGTGGTCCGACTGGAGGACCTCCTCGCCGTAACCGCTGTAGTAGCCGCTGCCGTTATGAGCGCTGTGAACCCAGATCTGCAGACAAACACGGAGCAACAATTAACCTCTGTCTTTCTATCAGAAGGCAGGATACCACAGACAGAGGAGCGGCGGAGACCCAGAGGAGCGTACAGACCTCTCCGAGATGGGAGTCTCCCAGCGGTCCTTTGGTCTCCGGGTTTGCGATGATGATACGAACTCCTGGCAGGATCTGAGAGAATAGAAACACCTCTTTAGCTGTTTTTGCTTTTTATTGTAGGTCATTAGATTAGTGATGAATTCATTTCCAGAGAAAAGATGCTATTAAACCTTGAAGCTAACATTTTTGTAGTTCTGCTGAGAAGATTTCTTCTTTGTTAACATTTCAGCTTCATTTTTATCCGTTTCACTGCTAAAGTCATGGTCCTGTTTTAATGGAAGGCCTCTATCGCATCGAGGCTGATGAGAGGAACGACCATAGAATACTTCCTGTTGTCCTTCAGTCCCACAAGCAGAACATTCTTTCCTTTCTCCACGGAGGAAGGCTCCTCCTGGACTCAGAGCTGCAGTCAGCTCTGAGTCACTGGGTGTGGGAGGACGCCCAGTGAAAAGGAGCAGAAATAGTCCACGGATCAGGCTGTCATTCATCTATTCATCGCGGGGCTGGCAGCGCTAATTTGGTTGTTTACCTCAGATCTTTTTATCGAATTTCTGTCACTTTGGACCGAGGCAAACTTCTCACCAAACTTTAATTTAAATTAGGATGTAGAGTCACGACTCATTTCTCACCTGGAGGAGAATCTAATATTAGTCCCTATAATGAGGGTTAATGTTTTAACTCACCTTCCCAGACTCCATCAGCGGCAGACTGTGGGGCGACCCTCGCTCTACCAACCGAACCCTGACGGAGAATAAAGCGGTTCAGAGTTAAAGCTGCTGGCAGACAAACCACTGAAGTAACCGAGTGGCGTACCTGTCATGGCGCAGCGCTCTCATGTCCACGTACACGGTGGTGGGGTCGGGGCCTGAGGTGCCCTGCAGCCAATCACAAAGCAGGAACAGTTTGGGTCACACAGTTATCCTCTCAGGTTTTTAAATGTTAGCCTCATAAAATGCATCTTTAAAAGGAAAAAAATCATAAGAAATGGAAATTAATATTTAATTATAACCTAAATATTACTTTGACAATAAAAAACTAAAAACTCAGATTTGAATTTCTGTACAGAAATGGATACATGATAAAATTCTAGTTTTATTATACTGAAAATCAGACCTTAATGAACACTGTCTAAACTTTTTCCACCTTTATTGTTTACATATCGGCTGCTCCTAAAAAAAAAAGTGTTAAAAAACTTGAATTAAGGTAAACATTGGTGTACTTATTATTAATAATAAATATTATTTAAAACGTTTTTTAGGACACCCAGGAAAACCGTATACCTAAACAATCAAGCTAAAAACAGGGGAGGCAGTCAGGGGAGGTAAACAGTCTCCAACAGATGAGATTTTAGCTTTGATTTAAAGATAGTTTATATGTCAATATTACAAATATTTGGAGGGAGTGAATTCCAGAGTTTGGGAGCAAAGCGGGAGAAAGCTCTGCTCCCCATGGTGACAAGGAAGGCAGGAGGCTCAACCAGGTGGATGGAAGAGGAAGATCTAAGGGTAGCAATCTAAAGGAGATCTGAGAGGTAGAGGGAAGCAGGATTATAGACGACCTTCAGAGCAAACAGGAGGTTTTGAAGCTGATAGGAAGCCGATGAAGCTCTGTAGCACCATGAACGCTTCGTAGGTGAAAATAGGCAGAACGGGTACTGTTTATCAGGAGCCCAGATCTAGATTTACTCAAATCTAGTTGTTTTTCTTTCAGTAAGACAACAACAACAAAAAATCTTCTTTTTACATTCTTCTTCAGATGAACCCATAGAGGTTCTATCAGACTTAGATCGGGACTCTGGCTAAGCTTAACTAAAAAGGAAGGCATGTTTGGAACCACATTGATGCTAAACAATTAACTCCATCTTCATCCTTTTTGCAGACACTTTCATTTTATTCAGCTGGACAAAAGACTGAATTTGATATGGAGAACACAAACCCTATAGCATGATGCTGCCATCACCGTGCTTCTTTGTGTGGTTTTGGGGATTAATTTGGTTTAGAGCATTTTAGACAGAACAGGTTTCCGTTTACAGACCTAATGTTCAGTCCAGACATGAACAGTGAAACAGGAGGCTGTTGTCTCATGCAGAGCATAACCAGCAGTAGAAGCTTCATCTGTGCTGCTGTCAGCCTCCTACTGGCCTCCATGATCGGCTCAGGCAGTGTCCTGGTTGTTATTTGGACTCATGGAGGCTCTGAATGACCAAACTCTTAAAGAGCGTTGGAATAAAGCAGTGTCTCTGTTGCTTACCTGCAGACAGATGGCCAGGTTGACCCTGCAGCCAAACGCTGTGCTGACAGATCGAGGATGAAGGCCCAGGTCTTTGAAGAGCTTGGAGAAGGAGAGCGTCAGCGCCATCCTGGGCCTCTCCTCAGCCACCACCACGCAGGCCCGAACCCGAGACAGATCCAGACCTCTGGCCTGCATCAGAGACAGAGCAGAAGACACAATGGCTGTCCTGTGAGTCTTTGTGTGGAAACAACTGAATCTATCCTGTTTAACTCTTCTACTAGAACTCTAACTCTGCTGAGCTATAAAGAGCCTCCCTGGAGACTCTTTGCTCCTGTTCAGTAGGGAAACTGTTTTATGAGCAAAATGCCAGAAATAAAACCCTTTTCTCCTCCAAACTCTGTCTCCATGGAGATTTGATGACAGATATTCACTAAAATTAACTTCCATCAGTGACCAATCGCTGCAGAGGCCCCTGGCTGAGCTTTATTCAAAGCCGAGGATGACGATGGAGCCGGATAGAGAGGCGAACTGACCACTGAGATGGATCCTCCTGGACCTTTAAACCGTGACGGACCAGTGAGATCGTCTCCAGGACAGGAGCTGGGGTCAGCTGCTGCAGCAGAACAGGCCTGACTAACCAATCACATCAAAGATCATTTTAAAGGTTCGTCCACCAGTCTTTTTAATGTTGAAATAAAGATTTTTCTATCCAGGATGGTCTGATCCTCTCTCATGGAGTCAGATGGTTTTAGCTGCTCTAAAAGTCAGTTTTTAATAGTTTAGAACAGGGGTAACCAATTAAAAATCA